TCCGCAAAACGTAGAATCACGAGATATTTCAAAGTGAAGCATTTTTCCAAAGCGAAATCAGTGTGATTCATCACGCACGATCACTACAAGGATTCCAAGAATATACAAAAGCCACTTAGCTGTTTCTGCATATATCTTTCCTTTCGTTTAACGAACCTTTATTCTTTTAACTGCTAGATTTTCGTGCACGTAAAAAAAAAAAAAAAACTTAAATTTAATTGATTTCGTGCCGACAATGCTGAGCAAGTAAACTCGTCCAATTGAAAATTGAACGGATTCATTTATTTCGTTCGCATTTATTGCATTTTTTACAAATCTCCATATTTGATTATCGAAACGAAACATTGAATCATCTTTTTTGTTTTAAATCGTTTCCTTCTTAACTTGTGACATAAATTATAACACTTAAAAAGTTCAATATAAATTAATGTTGTAATTATATAGATTTATAATAGTGTGCAAAAGTGTGATATCAACGACGATTGTTTGCTATGATACGATTATTACGGTTTTTAGATACATATTTGCAGAAAATATGATTAAAAATTTATGCAGAGATTGATCTAACCATCAATTCATTATTTATTTCTAATTTTTTTTAAATAAATATTTGTAAAATTAATAATTTTTAAAATAAAATAAAATATCATATGATATAATTTATATAATATATTTATACAATTATATAAAAATAATTATAAAAATTCTACAGAATAATACAATCTCGTTTAGAATCGAAATATCATGAGAAATTGATTCTATCAAAGACGATTTTACAAAAAGTGTTTAATTAAGAAGAAACATTATGTAATTTTTCTTATAGATTATTATATATAAAGATCAACTTTAATTTTTTAAATAAAACGATATAATTTTTATTGCACTAATCGATACGATTCGATTATTTCTTATAAAAAGTTTTAAATTATTTATGTCGACGAAAATCTTTAGATAAGAAATATTTTAACTTGATGTAAAATTTGTAAAATTATATGAAAAACAAAAAAAAAGTATAAATAATAGATTATTGCTTGGCAATTATTTCTTATCTTTTGTAAATTTGATAAATTTGAAATTAAAATATTTTAAAAAAATCTTTTCTATAAAAAAAAAATAGTTTAGTATTTTTTCTATAGGAAATAACTGCAATAAGCTGCATCAATTAAAATACAATAAAAATTACATGATTCTATTGAAAAAATTAAAGTTGATCTTCATATATGATGTATCTTTTTATACAATAATTTTTGTAAAAACATTCTTTTGATAAAATTAATCTTACATTATACTTCGATTTTGCAAAGATAAACATATAATATTTATGAAATTGATTTTTTTTTTGAGTAATTTTTATTTCATGTATAATCAATAGTATATCAATAGTAAATATAAATAATATATCAATAATAAAAATATCTTAATAATCTTAAAATAATGAATTAATTAAAAAATTAATTTATTAAAAGAATAAAATAATCTTTCTCATTTATGAAATAAATTTTCTCGTTTATATTTACAGTTTGGAAATTTGTTAATCGTACAAATTTCTCATCTTTTAATCGCGAATTGATAGATATGAAATATTCAAAGTAAATATTCTGATGGAGATAAAAACATATATGTATAATTTATTTTCTTATTCGTGGAATAACTCGTAGAAATTACAACATCTCATGACGTTTTAATTTACTTAGGATCAAATGACTTGACGTAAATCAAATCAGATATATCTACAATAATATCTGTAATATGTTACACTGTTTGGAAATATAATTGCAACTTTATCTGAATAGTGTTTCAACTTTTATTTCAATTTTGTTTAAAATAAATATAATTCTTTTCTGCGAAGAGAATATGATGTTTTTTTAAATTTCATCACGAAGATATATATGTTCACAGATTATTTTGTTAAATTCTCCTAAAAATTCTTTCTATATTCTATTTTTTTTTTTCATTTCATTTTTCCAAATCAATACTTATAATAGTTACATAAAAACATTATTTTTTATTACAGCATTTAACCATTATATAATCATTGTAATATAAACATATAATAATCATTTTAATAATATTTTATCATTTATAAAATTTTATATATCTTAACAGAGATCTTCAAATTCCATTTCTTTGGAATTTCTATAATTTTATTATTCCAAAATGATATTAATTTATTTATAAATTATTCAAGAGGGCTTTTAATATAATTTAGAGAATCATATTTGTATTATTTTTATTATTTTATTTGACATATAATTATAAAATTGTAAAGAGAAATTTAATCAACTCTTTTTGATAATATTATTAATTATAAATTTTTACAAAAGGAATATTTAATGAAGGAACGGATGCATTATTGGAAAGTTGAAAGAAAACTCAACAATATAAATGAGAGAGAAAAGAAACTAAACTTTATATTTTCAAATTTTAATTACTAAAACTTCACGTTTCATAATAACAAAAAGAATTTTTGAAATAGTTTAAATATATTATATAATAAATTAAATATATTATATAATATATAATATAAATATATATAAATAATAAAAATAATATAAATAAATATAATATAATAACAATATAAATGAAATATATTTTTAAATATTAAATTCAAATTATATTTCAAAAAATTTTTAATAGTTTTTATTCGTCCATCCACTGAAAATTGTTATATATAAATATTGTTATATATAAAAAAGGTGATATCACAGGTCATTTCTCTATTAAAAAAGAAAATCACGAAAATCAAAAAAAAAAAAAAAAAATATTGCGCTAACTTTTAATATTTTAATTTCTTATTAAAAAAAAAAAGAAAGAAAGTCTATATTTTCCACTTCTTTTCGATCTGTCCTAATTTATCAGAACGCAGAATTTAATATTACAATATCGTTCGACCCATATGTATATTAGATGTCTGTGATATCGGATTAAAATACACCCGCGCAGACCTTCTGACGTCATCAATGACGTCGAGATATGAAAGGGAGAAAACAGTATAGGGTGGTAAAGATCCTCGACAATTGACATTAACCATTCTTCTTTACTCGAAACAATATCTAACGAAAGAAAACGATCGACTTTCTCTTATTTCTCTTTCGATCAAACAAACTTTTCCCGCATAGAGTGTTATAGAACGGAACGAAACATAATAAGTTCTTTTTTGTTAATTCTTTACTTTTTTCTAATAGAGCAGAAAATACTTTCTCTAATAATATAAATTTTTAATAAATAATATAAATTTTCTCTAATATCAAAATTTGAATTTGATCGAAAAATCATTTAAGATGCTAAGTATCGTTTAAAAATTATTATTATTTATCCGTGGTTTTATAAATTTTTATTCGGTAATTTATAATAATATAAATAACGTTTCTTATTTAAAAATAATTTTAAATAAAGAGATTATATTAGATGGAATAGATTAAAAAAAAATTATTATTTCACGAATATTTTTAATTTATATATTTATATATATTGGGAATATAATATTCATTTTAAAATATAAATAAGAAATATGTACTTAAAAAAAATAATAATAATAGAAAATTAAAATTTCAAGATTTATTATGAAATCTCTTTAAATGGAATTTCTTTAAAACTAATCATTTTCATGCTAAAAAAAAGATTAAAAGTTAGCAAATTTTTTTTCATTCCATCCTAATCTAACCATGTTCTGTCGAATCGATATCTGGCATTAAGGAAACGCTCGACTTTTCCTTATACTTTCTTTGTCCATCTTGAATGTTTCTCTGTCAATGCGCAAAGGATCTGGTTGCTCTTTTTTCCGTCACAAGGCCTCCGACCTGATTTCCACGACCTCCGCTTTAGGGGCGAGGAACCAGAGTACTAATTCTAGTTGTAGCGGCACGATCGATTAAAACGTGATGACGAGTGCGCTTCGCCAGGATCAAAGACTGGCGTTTGTCCTGTGTATCTTGTGTGACATTTGGTCGATTCTATGACACGGTTTAATTGGAATAATTTGGGTTGGTTTTAGGAAATTCAAGAATTTGAGGAATTAAGTTGTGTTGAAAAATTTTTTCAGATTAATAATTGAAGATTAAATAGAATTCTATAGAGATAATAAAGTTATGTTGACTTGGAAAATTTTTGGATAATTAAATGATGGGGTAGTTTTGATTCAAGAATATTTTGAGGAGTTGAGATTATGTTGGATAAATTGAATATTGTTTATAGGGTAATGATAAAATGAAAATGAAACTTTCAATTGGGAAATTTTTTAGAGATTAATGATTAGAAATTCAATGGACTTCGTTCTGACGAATAGTAAAATTGATGATTTTATTTTGACTTGGGAAATTTTTTTTGGAAAATTTTTTTGAAAAATTTTGGAAAATTAAATAATATTTGGTTTGATATTTGATATTTTAAAGTATAAAATGTAATTAGATTTGATTTGAAAATTTTTAAAAAATAAAAATTGTAGATTATGTAATTTTATTTTCAGAAATAATAAAATAAAAAACATTTTGAGTTACAATATTTTGTATCAACTAAATTAAATTAATAAAATAAATTAATAATTCATTTTAAAAATGTACACTGTTACATAATAATATTCATAATTTAAAATTTATTAGAGTAAAATATTTTGATTAAATAATCTTTTGAAAAAAAATTTTAATTTGAAAAATAGTTAATATGAATCCTTTCAGATTTATAAGTAATCATAATTTTTTTTTTCTATCTTTTTTTTTTATATATAAAATTACTATTTCCTGTATTATCTTTCTGAATTTACACTATCGCATTAATTATTTATGTTCTTATGTTTCATGCAATTCATTTTGTTTAAGCTTCCATTAGTATCATAAATTTTATTAATCTTTTGCCAGTATGCATATGATCCTATTCGAAAAATATTCGTGGAAACTAGAATATAATTATAATGGCGAAGCTACTAAATGTAATATATAATTATAATAACGAAAAAAAAAGATTTTTAAAAATTATTAACGAAAAATTTTTTATTTCTGTTTCAGGCATTACTATATCTAATACAGTTGTTGGATCCCATTGTCAAAGGAGATTACGTAATCGCTTATTTCCATACGTTAACGACTAGCAACAATTATCCCAGTCTACATTGGTTGCGCGAAGTATACAACGTGCTTCCTTACAAGTGAGATTTTCAATAATCGTGTGTTTTCATTTGTTACTTGAATTTTTTTTTAATTTTTTTTATCATAAATTTTCTGTCTTTATTTTTTTTAAATCTTATAACACGTTCAGTTGTTTTTTCACTTTTAAAAAAATTATCTATGATAATCTGACGGATCTATAGATGATCTAATATACTCTTTAAAATGCAATAATTGATGTCGATTTGACTTACAAATTTCAATTACGTAAAACTATAAAAAATTAAATTTGAACTATTTGAAAGTATAACATTTAAAATAAATTATATATTACACACTGCAGTAATTAGTATCAGCGATAATACTAATTTAAATAATAATTTTATATTATATTTTTATCTTAACTTGACTAAATAAAAAAGATATTTTGTTGAAATAATAATAAGAATTTTAACTGATTTAAATCGATTATTTTCAAAGAAAAATTGATAGATATAAAATTTTAGATATTATTTTTTAAGATTTATTATTTAAGATATAATATAGATATATATTACTTTAATTTAATAAAATGCATGTGCATGTGTATAATATCATTGTTTTTTTAACATCAAATTTATATTGAAATATTTTTGTTACAGATATAAGAAGAATCTGAAACACTTTTACATTATTCATCCGACTTTTTGGACCAAGGTAAATATTATAATTAATATAAACTAATTAAAAATATATCTTTTTCTCTTTTTTAAAACTTAATAATGTATAAAGTGACTATGAAAAATATTTGTACATTATTATATTTGTCATATTATTTATACAATGTATCACAATTGAAGACCTAAATATTTCCTTTGTTTTTCATGACGTGACACAAATGAATATTTGGATGAAGAAATTTCTTTTTATTTTTTTCAAAGTCATTAATATTTCTTATCTGCGAAACATGTGTTTCTATTTTTTTTATTACATTTAATAAAAAAATATATTCAAATATGTTTAAATCATGATTTAAACATATGACTTTGAAAACCAATGATATAATGAAATTGCTATGATAATATGAAAATTATTATTAATAAAGTAATATTGGTTACTTACTTTCTGATAATTACGTTATTACGTAAATTATAACGCTTTTTTAATTATGTTTATCAATATATAAAGATTCTTTCTGATTTTTGAACAAAACAAATTATTAATTTATCATAAATATAACTTATTATTCCAAGCAGAAGAAAGAATCCAATTTATTTACATTTATGATGCAACTAATCAATGTATAAAAAAAGTAATTAGCACAAAAGATATACTAGTTAATTAAATCCAAGTATATTAATATTTGATATTATGAAAATGAAATTTAATAAAATGTGCTTAATTAAAGAAAAATAACGATATAGACGAATATTTTTTTTGTAAAAATTGTAACTGCTTTAATATTATCAAATCGATGAAAGGAATAAATAGACTAATGCATTCTGAACAAGATAACAAAAACAATCCATGTATAATCCACTTCATGATTTTAAATTAACTGATCAAACAAGATCTTTTCGAGGAGTGGCATTTATTATATAACAATTTAATAATGAGAATCGATAAAGAATATCGATAAACTTCACGTTTTAAGACGCAAAATCAGTCTTTTTCCATTTCCCACGTTCTCTTCAGTGTTAATCGAACGATCATATCGAACTTCCTGTCCTTCCGGTATCCATTTAACAAAATGCATTTTTATGATTATTTGCAAATCCATGGGAAACGTATCCTTGATCCTTACACGAGGCTAATTATTATCTCACGAACTAGATATGAGATTGTTAAAGAACCAAAAGAATCATGTCATAAGACGAACAAGGATGTCGATGAGGCGAAGGAAAATAATTGGATCTTTCTTTCTTTGTTCCATCTCGTTAGTATAATGGCAAGAGAAATTATGTTAATATTCTTCGATTAGAATAAAATTGATTTAAATGGAATCATGAAAATACGTGGCAATATTATTTGATAATTCGTTTGTTATCTCTTGCAGATGATGACGTGGTGGTTCACGACGTTCATGGCTCCAGCCATCAAACAAAAGGTTCACAATCTACCTGGAGTAGAATATCTTTATGAAGTGATGTCTCCTGAACAATTGGAGATCCCTGCTTACATCACGGAATATGATATGACGGTGAGGATTCCTTGGAATCTTTTTCTTTCTTTTTAATAATTCTTTTATACCAATTGTGCTATTCCTGACAATATTATTCATATTACGTTATTTTTTATTTGGACAATGTTAAAGTAATAAATATACAAATATATAAATATCTCGAAGCATGCAATTAATAAAATCGAAACTATTTGGAATTATTAAATAATCAAGAAAGTTCTCTACTTGTTTGATAGAAAATATGTATGATAAAATCGAACAATCATTTATAAAATTATTGCACTTAGAATTATGTGCATTTCTGTAAACAATCTTCATTTTATTGTTTATTAAATATATTCTTATTATTATATATATTATATATAATTATATATATTTATATTCTTATTATATTATATATATATTATTATATTATATCTTATTATATATAATTATATTCTTATTTAAATATATTCTTATTATTAAATATATTCTTATTATATTATAAAAATTATATAATTCTTATTAAATCTGACATAATTTCAAGTAAAATTAAAAACTAAAAAATGCAAAAAGACAAAGAATTGAAGAATTTTTCTTTCTGTTAAAATGCAATATTTTTTCTTCTTTAAAAACAGAAAGAAAACTTCGCCACTAAATCGAGATCTAGTTAAGTTACCACTTAAAAAAATATGATTTAAAAAAAAGAAAAAGCAGCTCATCATCAAATCAAACTACAAAAACTTGAAATATTCCAGATAAACGGAATGAGGTATTACCAACCAGACCCAATCTCTCCGTCGCCATCGACGTCCACGTAACTCTCCGACCCGGCCTCCCAGCCTGCGAAGCACTGGACAGAACGAAGCAGTCGGATCGATCGTTCCACTCGATAGTACGGTGTCTGTAACGACGCTCGTAATGCCGTTTCCGCCAGCTCGACACGATCACGTCGATTCCGACGACTCCCATCTGTCTCAGAAGATGCGTTGCTTCGATCGATCAGAGACAGAATCGGCTTCTCGAGAGCGGGAAAAAGTGCCTGGTGGTGACAGACGAGAGGCGACAAACGCTTGGAGGATGAAGAATAGTCGGGTGCTTGATGCGACAATTGATCGATCGTTGAAAAATCAAGAAACCACTGCCCACCTGTTTCTTTCATCAATCATCAATTGTCTGGAGGAAAGGGAAAGAGATTTCTTCCTTGTCCACCTACGAGGGAAGTTTCTTACGTTGTGTGTCGACGTTGGACGCGATGTCGCGTAACGCAGAATTGCGAAGAGGATCGATCGGGAGAAGGATGAGGAGATTGTTATTTCGCGTGCTGCGCGGATATCGGCTGCCAAAACACCAATAATCAGTATTCTCGTCTTCGTTGTTACGACGGAGCGTGGGATCTTGTTGTTCTTAAATAAATAGCTAGCTATTCGATTCGGATTTAGAGGGATGAGAGGGGATGAAGAATTAAAATGACGGCTTAATAATAATGTCGATCGCTTTTTTGTTATTTTCTTATCCGTCGTTGTATAGCGAATTATATAATCGTCTATTCGATTATTGTATTTTATTATGTCACGTCGATGATGAACGGAGTCGCGGTCGTTGGCGTGCAGTATTTTTCGATAAAAAAAGAAAAAAGAAAGAGACAAAGAAATAAAGAAAAATGGATTAAAAAAGATGAAGAATATTATCGTTACGACTAATGTACTCGGCTAACGAGAAATAATAATAATAGAGAGTGGCTGGTTCCTTCCGTGGCGCTACAGCTTCGGTTCATTAACGTGGATCCGCTTAATCCAACGTGTTAGAACTGATTAACGTTAAGTACTCGTTATGTACATAATATAAATACATATACATATATATATACATATATATATATATATATATGTGTATAGCTTCAAATTTAATGATGAATCAAAGGATGTTATTTTCAAGTTGTTCCATTGAGATTGAGAAGAATTGCAAATACATTCGATCGATTCATCATCGAAACGATAAATCCCAGAGAAATTCAATGGCTAAGTGCCGAGGTCGTACTCGCGATTTAACTATAGATTAGATGAAGCAATAAACATTAAGAGCTTTCTCGCAATCTGTATACATACATATGTACGTGTATATACACATGTATGTATATATCTCGTGGGACAGAATCGTTATACTCGTTGTTAAGCATTTTTAGGCGAAAAAAATAAAGTGTGACGATATCGCGTTCGTAGATCATTATTCAATTAGCCCATTCCTCTCGGATTTTCTTCGCGTCATTTCATTCTCGTCAAAGTTAATTCGAATCAAAATCATCCAAAAATCTAGTCTAATCCTTGACGGCTTTTGGTTGATTAACTAACCAAGAACAATGGGTTAATTGATCGTATCATGTATCTATATATTATAATTTTACATTTATTATTAACCCCCAAATAACCCGAGTATGCTTGATCGTTGAGATATCTTTTTATTACTTTTTACTTGTATTTGGGTGATGTTCATTGACGTTAGAATAGCGTTAGAGAATAGCGTTTCGTTGAAACAAATGTGTGGAATGAAAGGGTATAATCGTTTATCTCATTCGGAAGATCGTTTTATTTACTCGGCATTTTTTCTTCCATGATAAAAAAAATCACATAGGAAAATATTCGTATCCTATTGGATGCATTTTATTTTATTATTCGAATTTTTTACTTTCAATGCTTACCAAAAAATTGCATTTTTTTTATCTATCAAAGTATCATCTTTGTTGTCCATTTTTTTTTGTATTCTCCTCGATTGATTGTTCTTTAATATTTCTACGAAGAATTACGAGATACCAATGGAAACTAAGAAATAATTATCTTCTATCAAGTTTCAAGTTTACCTCTTTTTAAATTACAGGACACAAGTGACTTGAGCGTGATATGAAATCTTAAGTCACTCGTGGTCGATCGGCCGTGCACGTGACAATTATTTTCGACGTTTTACGTTGAACGACCTCACTGTCCGTCCCTGACAATCGTTTATAGTAAGTAGCCAATCGTCTCGCAACGCGTCGTCCAAACATCCTTCTCACCGTTTGTTGAAAATGAAAAAATAGCTTATCGATTGTTGGAGTACAGTTTGGACGATCGAACGTTGCCATTGTCGCGATCGTGTAACCGTGTTGGTGCAGCGTTTGTGAATGTCGTAGATAAGGCAAAGATTTGTGACAATATTCAATTAATGCGTGCTTAGCGGGGGCTGAGATACTATCCGGATCTATTTCAAAGTCCTAATCTGATTTTAATTAGACAACGATAAAACAAATAATTTTACAATATTTAATGTTCAAAACAATGTAGATTGATGAATTAAAAATTCTAGCGTGGATATTAATTGTAAAAAAATAAGAGATCTGGATGCCTAAGATTCATGAAATAAAAAAAGAAAAGTAATAGAAATTTATAGCCCTCATCCTCTTAGAATTCTTTATGAAGAAATATCTTGAGAGGAAGAATATGAGCTACAAATGTTGAACTGCATAGGACTTTAAAATAGACAACCGAACATTAGGCTTTACGCTTATAGAAGATAATCTATGGCTTAGATTTAAAAAAAAAAAAAAAGAGAGAGAGAGAGAGAAGAAGAAGAAATTAAATCGAAACCCGTTGTTCCCTCGCTTTTAAGAGCTACGAAACGAAAAACGGCCAAATCGAATGATGAAGAGCTTGTAAAACTGTGTGTGACGGTAGTGTTTTGTCCATCTTAGGATCCTGAGACGTTTATTTTCCGAACTTTTATGATCGTGCACAGTCATAGGCGTCGGGATCGATGCCGTATCACGTCTCACAATAATATATTTCCAATTGTAATTCGTTAAACAAGTGATTAAAGAATTGAATCGAGGCAAAATAGAGAAACAAATACAAAAGTGAAAATTTATTATAAGAATTTTCGTTGAAAAAAGAAATTGAGTTTAAAATGTATAAAATTATTTTTAAGAAAATTTGTTGTATATTTTATTATTAGAAAAAAAAGAAAAGAGAAAAGTAATATTTTCGGAAGAGGAAAAATTATTCTCACTAGTTTTTCATCTATTTTTTTTTATCACAGAATCAAAATTTCGATACGATAAATCATCGCGTAGATCAATTAACGAGACAAATTAGAAGCGATATTGTTCTATTAATCGTGCTGAAATTAATTGTTAACCGCGTTTCCATTAATCGCAAAATTTTGCTATTATTAGGATTAATCGTTGAACGCATTATTAAAGCTGAATTTTATATGAGAAAAAGTATATATATATACATAAATGTATAACCTAATTCTTTTATCGTTCTTTGGAAAAATGGCGGATTCATAATTTTCATTCGATGCATTCATAATTTCAATCGATTTACACGCGATTTCTTGCGAATTTCTATTTATCCGTAATTCCTTCTTTCGAGAATCGTCGAAATCTCGATTAAGGGGACGAATATGTTTTACGTTTTTCTTTTTCTAAACAAAGATTTTTTACCAAACGTGAAATCTCAACCCGGTGAGAGACGAGATCGGAAGCTTCGGAAATTATACGTGCATTATTGTATGTATACGTTGTATACGCGTATTACGATATACTGGTTAACCTAATTATAATTGTTGTCGCGATGGTAATAGATTCTAATTAATCAAGGTATATATTTTTCTCTCGGTGCCGATGCACGGCCTCTAACAGGTGCACACCTTGCCCTTTCATCTGTTTTTTTATAGATCGAGCAATAAAACTTATTGTTTCAACAGAATTATTGTTTCTTGTGATTCGTTTCCAATTCATGTCCAAATATTAAAAAGATAAGATTTATTTGATACGCACATGTGATGAGTAATGTGAATTTATATTCAGTGAAGTTACGTAAATCATGAATGTTTATTCTGATTGAATAAATAATAATTTTAGATTGGTAAATTGATATTTATAGAACTAGTAATATTCAAAGTAAAAAGGAAATTGTCTATTAAAGAATGTCATCATTGAAATTATTTAAAAATAATAAAAAAATGGAAAACTTTTAATGGTTATGATGATACAATATAAGAGACATTTTGCTGGTTCATGAAAAGATACGGAAGAAGAGTAAAGTTATCTTATCGCTGGCGTTATTTATATCAGTGAAGTAAAAATTCAAATTTAAAGAATTTAGTTTAAACTTATTGTAAAAAGTTTTTGATAAGGCATTTCGTAAAAAATTTAATTGAAAAATTTTTATTGAATTTATAAAAAAAAATTATAAAAATATTGTATGCACAAGACTAACTTATTTCTTTGTTAAAAAATTTTCGTTCATAAAAAAATAAATACTGTTAATAAGATGTTTAATTCATAATTCCTTAATTCGATATATTTGTTTAATTTTTAACTTATATTTTTTCATCTTTTAATTCTATTTTTTTAATTTAAAAAAAAATTATTTTTAATTTCTTCGAATTCGAAAGTAGTTTCTTTTGATAAACTTTTTCAACATTCTCTTCCAAAAAATCGAAAAAAGATACTTGTAAAACTTGGAATTATCTATATATTAAAATAACATAATACGAAATATTCTTTATTAAAATTCAATTACTATATTTTCATATTTATATTATCATAAATTACAGGAATAAAGTTATGAATATATATTTAATATATGTATCATATATTCTTTACAATATTTATTAACCACATACTTTTTTAATACAAGTCTAAATAATCTCTAATTTAATAAAAAACTCTTAATTAAAATGTAATTTAATTAATTAAAATCTATCACCTACGTTTAATTTTTGAAGTTTTTAAAATTCACAAATATATGAAAACTTGCTATGGAAAAATTAAATATAATATATTATACGAAACTTTAATAGACTTTAATTAACTTTAATATCATATCATTATCATCATAAATAAAAGCTCAATTATCAAGATTATATACAAAATTTGAATGAAATTTAAAATTATAATATAAAATCTTATTATAATATAAATTATAATAAGATATAATATACTTATTATATATTTCATAGACGTCATAAAATATTTAAAAACATAGATAAAAAATTATAATTAATGCTAAAGATCTATTATATAAAATTTTATTAATTTCAATAATAAAATTTGAATAATAAAATACAATTATATTAAAATAACATCATAACATTCATTAATACAACATCGATTAAATTATTTAAATACTTTTGTAACTTTCGCAAAATATTTATATTAATAATAAACATTTTACAACTTACATATACATATATATATATATATATTTTCACATTTATTTCAAACTTTACCCGCATTTAATCTCGCATATAATGCTAATAATACTTCATAAAGTTTAGCATGACGCTATTCATAAAATTTTTCTATAAAAAGTATATTCGTAAATACTTTCGTAAGTACTTATACGTAACATCTTCAAAATAAAAGTATAACACAATATAAGTAGAAAAGATTCTTCTTTTCCATAAATAGGGTGCGCCCTCTATCCGCCCTCCATAAATCTGCAATCTTCACCGTCTATTCGTCTCATCAGCTAGATCCACGGATTATCGATCGAGAAGAGAGCATAACATAAAACTGCATCGGGCAGCATCAATTTTTCAACAGCGCGCGGCCTACCAATGCTACGGAGAAAAAGAGAAAGAGAGAGAAAGACAGAGAGAACATATATGCCTCCTCTCCCTTCATTGATTCAGCCGCGTGCTGCTGTATGCCGCGTTACGTTCACGCACGCGGGCCTCTTCCGTCCGTCTCGCAAGGCGCCGAGCCAGTGAACACTGTAACGTTGAGCCGAGCATTTCGTCGCGAGCGTTCACCTTCCTCCACCTCGTCCTGTGCTCTTCGTTCGTCCTGACCATTGTATAAACTTGGACTCGAAAAAACCGACGCCGGAGATCAGTGCACGAGGGACGACCGGTGGCGTTGGAAATTTTTTGGAGTCTGCAAATGGAAACAGGCTTCATCGTGGTCACAGGTAAGCGTTAGGGAACGCTTGCCTACGGATGTCACTCGTGTTATATGTATTGTCTATTTTGGTGATTGAGTGGGTCGACAGATATTCATCACACGTTTCGAGAGTCTTGAGTATTTTTTATATTTCAAGTCAGTTTTCATTAAATGTTGTTTACCTCGTGGAAAACGTGTTATGAAATATTTATTTTATTTGTTGTTGTGTATATTTAATTTAATGTAGTTAAATGCAATATTTATTCAGATTTATTGAGAGATGATGAGATATTTAAAGTGGATTATGATTTAGATACAAAAAATATTAATTAATAATAAGTTCTTATAGAGTTTGTCTATTGATTTTGTATTTTGTTCTTTTTAATTTTTGTCATTTTTAAATATTTTTTTCAACCCTTTAAAAGAATTATATTTTTTTTAAATATATACATGTGCATGTGCTTTTTTTATTTTGTATTTTTTGAATGACTTTTATCAAAAAACTTTTATATTTATAATATGAATATATATGAAATCTTCAAATATAATGAAATAATATTTGAAGATTATGATGTGTGGGATGATATGTCTCAATTAAATCGCAACATGCTGTGTCACATCATTATAAATATCTACGATTATCTTAATATAAAGTATTCTTTTCCGGGATAGAAATGATAATCATTCACTTTTTTTTTTTTTTATAAATGATCCAGTTAACAATAGAAATTTTCAGCATTAATCGAAATCGTAAAGTTAATAATAATATTTTCTTATAATAAAAGTATTATTTCTTCGACAATTTACAATTTTTTTATTCTTACAATTCTTACAATTTTTTAAATTTTTATGGATCTTTTACTGCATTCAATACATTTATTTTGATTTTACTGTTTTTTTTCATGAGTATTGCTTTAGAAAAAAATACAATGGAAAGAAATAATAAGCTTTTTAAAATATTTAACAAAAGAATTCGATATTTTCATTAATGAAATTGAACTTTTTTGATGAAATCAGACGCGTAAAATTGTTTTATCGTGAATGAAAAAAGCAATATGAATGGTATGACTGAAAAAAACTTCAACTGAATTTTAAAAACTCTGATTAGAAATAATTCAATAAAACTTATAAAACTTTATTTATTTTTTTAAAAAATGTAAATATAATTATTAAATTCTTAATAAGCCTTTATTTTAAAACAAATAGAGATGTTGAAACAAATTTTTTATTGATCAATTATAAATCTTGCCAAAAATTCAAGATAATTTCTACAATAAAAATAGTTATTAGTTCAAAATAAAAACTAAGGAGATAAGATGTGTACATATATATTTTAGAATATTTATAAAATAATGAAATTCTAAATAAGAAAAATTCTTCAGAAGAAAAATACTCAAAATCAAAATAAATTTAAAAACATTTTTAAATTAAAAATAAAAAATAAATAAATTAAATTAAATAATTTTTTTATAAAAAATTTTTTAAAACTTTAAATATAAGTTTTTTATGTGTACTATATTTTGATAAAAAAATTTATATAATAATCTGTTTGTAACGGAAAAATAAAAATTATTTAAAGTGTAACTTAATTTCATATTTTTTCTTTTGTTATCAAAATGTGATCAATTTGTCTTTTAGAAATATTAAAAAATTAAAAAAAATTTGTTATATATTATAAATTATATTATAAATAAATTTGTTATATATTAAAATATTTGCATAGAAATATAGAAATATAGAAATATTAAATAATATTTATAAACATAAATTTTTTGAATTTTTTTATTATATTTTGACATTTTGCCATATCATAGAATATTTAAGTAAGTAAAAAAATATTTATTTATAAAAATCTGCCATATTTTAAAATTTCAAAAATATTTTTACGTTTTTTTAATAAGTTTTATGTAATATTTCGAACAATATTCTTTCATTCATAAATTTTCTGATTGGAATAATTTTATAATTTTTTTTTTCTGCGTAATATTCTTATTTGCTAATTTTCCTTATTTTGTCATTATATTTTATTTTTTCAAATATTTTTTTCATTATTATTTTATTATATTATAAATCTCAGATTATCATATCACCTAAAATGTCGTTTTCTTCTGATAATTTAATTTCTATAATTCTTTTTCTTTATCTTTCATTTGAATATCTAATTTCTTTATCTAAATCGTTATCGTTTCCTACTTTTAAGATTTTTTAAAATACGTTTTCTAAAACATAAAATAATATCAATTTTAATGATTTATATAACGTTTTGTATCACTATCTGATATTATATCACCATGTTATCGCAAAGTATCTATTGATAAATAAATTTACTTTCGTTATTTGAAGCAATTAATCAATAATTTTTAATAATAAAAATAGAATTTCACTTTTAAGAAACAGTATCTTTAATAGTAATAAAAAAATTAAATAATTTAAATAAAATTCACAATCTTTGTATGAAACATTTAAGCTTTAAAACAAATAAATAATTTCTAAAATAAAATCATCTTTTAATCATTTCTATGTATAATGTCAGAACTTTACTATTTCAACTATAATATAGACGGAATATAGAAGAAAATGTCCCACTTTCATAGTAAATAATTTCTCATTCTCATTTATCAATCAAATTTATATTGACCAACTTTATATATTTAAAATTTAAATGGAAAATTTAATATTAAATTATAATCTTATTTTTGATAGAAGCCAAAATAAGATAAAATTAAATTTTTTTCAAATGCCGCATTTTTATCATAAATATTTTATTCTCGTATTTTATTTTCATGTCTTTCTTTCTTTCTTTTTTTCATGTATTAA